GAGTTGTTTAAGAGAAAAGAAAGGCTTTTGATAGCTGAGAAGAGTAGAGCTGGAGGAGTGAATGCAATATGACACATATATAAGCTGAGAAGGAGGTGTAAGAGGACAGGAAGGCAATAAAATGGATACAGTGATGGGAGGGATCCAACCAGCTTTTCTGCTGATGAAAAAGGGAGGAAGGGACCTGCATAGACAAAAACCATGTGAGCCAAGGAATGGAGTAAGAAAAGGAGTTCGGTGAGAGTGAGTGGAAAAGTTGGTTGGATTTCCAGCTTTCCCAATGTAGTGTATCAGCCTCATAGAGCATCCTAGACTCACTATGGTCCCCTCTCCAGCGACAATGGGCAGAGATCCAATTTGGAATCACCTAAGTAAGAATTGTGGCACAAAAGACCTGTGGAGGTTGTAAATGTTTTGTAATTTTTATTTCATTTGGCCTTCAGCCATCTTCACAGTAAGAGATGACTTTAGGATAAACAAGAGGTACCATTGCCTACCTCTAATATTCAGCAACTGACATTCAAAAAGGAAACATACTTCTTTTTTTTAGTTTCCACCACTTTACCAAGACACACCTCCATAACAATAACAAACATAACAATAACAAACATAAATACATATAAACAACCACAACCACCCTCCACCAATAACACATATACAAAGCAAACAGCAAAAAAAGGAAACATACTTCTGAATGGGTCTTACAAAGTGTTGCCATATTACTTTGATGGTGGGATTTTACCTAGAATCTGGGAATGTCACCAAGTCCTTCTCTAGCACATAAACATTGCAACAGACTCTGCTTAATTAAAGGGATTAATACTCCTTAATTTCTTTATTTTATTTATTTACTTCGTTTATACCCTGCCTTTCTCTCCAGTGGGGACCCAAAGAGACTTACATTGTTCTCCTCTCCTCTATTTTATTCTCACTACAACCCTGTGAAGTAGGTTGTGCTGATTAGCCCAAAGTCGCCCAAACACGTTTTCGTGGCTGGGGGGGGGGGATTTGAAACTGGTTCTTCCAGATCCTAGCAGGATACTCTTGCTACTACACTGTACTGGCTCTCAGACTGTACTGTAGGTAGCTCAGATTCCTAATTCATTTTTTAAAATCAAAGAAACCTCTACACTTTTTCATTTCCGAAATAGAAAGCAAAACATGAAGACAGTTTTCTGCTTACACTATAGAATGGGAAAAGATCAATCCCATCTTCCCCTTTTCTAGACAATGAGGGAAAACATGGCTGTGATTATAGGTAAGGGAAGTCCAATGGAGGATTTTGCTTTTCTATTGCCAAGAGGGCCTGCACCGGCAAGGTAGCTCTGTCTGTGTTTTCTGCTGATGTGATTCCTTGCAGAATGGGTAAGATACAAAGGAGGTGATAAATGTTTTCATTTCCCTCACCCTAATACTATTGCCCGAATCCATTCTACAATGAATGCATTTCTTTATGTTTTTCAAGAATATGTCGGACTTGGCCCTTGATTAGTCTGAACTTCAGCACTAAAACTCATACTGGATTAGTTATCCTCTCTGTTTGTCCAGCCTAACAACAATACCTGTCTTGGTTGGTAAGGCCCACTTTCCAACTAGTACAGCATAATCATCCAACCGCAGTCAGGCCATATATAAGATGGTGGCCACCCTGTTTAATTTTCAAGATCTGGTATTCAGAAGCACACCTCACAGGATTATCATGAAAGAGAATTACATAGCACTATGAAATGCTTCCTTGAGTGCTTTGAAGAAAGGAGGGAGAATTTTTTTAAAAAAGAATCTCCCTGCATCCTAGTTGCTATTGTCTAACACAAGCCAGCATTGCATATATTCAACCAGCTTCCACATGCACTTCAGTGAAGTTCTATGTACGCTTCCTTTTGTGTTTACCCAGAAGAGAGTTGTCCGTTTAACTGTATGTGAAGCTGCAGGTAGGTATCTGCCTCAATATATCCTCCAGAATGGGGAAGCGTGGCACCATGGCAGCACCAGAAGCTTCACGGGTTCAGTTCCTTGGATAATCAGCTAAAGGATTCAGGAACTGGGAAGGATCTTTGCTTGCCCGAGACTCTGGAGAGCTGACAGTGCTAACCAAGAAAAGCAATGATCTGACTCAGTATAGGATAGCATCATATGCTCAAAAGATGACTGAAGGCAAACCTGATCAGTTTCAACAGAATTTGTGTCTATTCAGTGTTTAGGATCATGGCACAAGAAATGCCACTCACCTAGTGGGTCCAGTCTGAACAGCTTTGAATACAGATTGTTATTGTATTGGTTGATGAATTGCTTTTAGATGTCTATGATTTTATTGTTATGGTGCTTTTATGATGTCAGCCACCCTGAGCCTGCCTAGGCGAGGAAGGCGGGGTACAAATTCAAATAATAAATAAATAAATAAATAAATTTAAATACAGGCCTTTACCAGTCTGTATGCACAGATTTCAACTTCATTATCCCTTCCAATTAATGCCATGGTCTTTACTGGGATGTGAAAGTGTCACTTCTTGACACACATTAGAGAAATAATTTACTTCAGGATAGCCTCAGTTAGTTAATCATGACCCTCAATTTGAAGAAGATCTGACTACACAGCTAAAAGATTATTCTGAAGCATTGTATTTTTCTCATTTTATTGCATTTTCATTTAAATAATGGAATGCCTTTTCTCTCTCTCAAACAAAATGAAATATTGCACATTTGAGAGAGAAATGTGTTGTCAATATAAGAAACAGCAAGCTTAAACAAACCCTGTCAAAGCTGATCAACATACCTTGGAATACTGTTGAAAGTAACAGTACCATCTGGCAACAAAAAATAAACAGAACTTTCTTGAGTGGGATCAGTTAGACCTTCCTGCTGGTTGTGAGGCAACGTTTTCTCCTAGAGCTCTTGGTTCCCCCCCCCCCAACTGATTTCAGTAGTTTTTGGATTTGACAGCTGAAGAAGTATCATAGCTGAAAGGAGAAGCATGTCTATCCCTTCTACATTTCTAGCATTTGTAATCCCAGTGCTATATTTTGCTATCAAATATTAGAAACTTTGAGCATACCTGTAAAGCAATTTGAGGTCAAACTACGCATTGTATTTGAGCTCAGTGATCAGATATCCCTACAGGTTTTTTTAGTCATAAAAAGCATGGGTGCTTATATGTACATCTGTGAAATCATCCTTTCCCAGACAAGGAATGCCTCTGGAGGCCAGGCCTACCCTCACTGTTTTCAGTTGATGGCAGATATGGTGCCTGCTTCTCCTGCCTCTACTGCCTGCAAAGGACAGTGGGAGTTCGCAGCCAGGCTGGCTTCTGCTACAGGGCTCCAGCTGGCTCTCCTCCTCCTTTACCAGCCATTAAGCTCCATTAAGCCCAAACATACCTGAAATAGCTCAACCTATGGCGATGCCAACCTCCAAGTGTGGCTGGAGATTTACAGTTATTACAACTGATCTCCAGGCAACAGGTATGCACTTGGAGAAACAGCCATTTT